AAAAAAAAAAAAAATGATTGTATAAGAAATGGCGCCATTCATTAAAGATTCACCAGAACGCAAGTTATCAACACTAAATAAGAAATGTGCCTCACATTTATCATAAAAATAGACCCCAAAGACATCCAAACACACTAGAAACACTGAAAACTAGCTATTAATGTATGTCGCATTGAACTCATCTCAAACAGCCAAATTACCAAACCATAACACCCCAACCATTCCATTATTTACTTCCTAAGACTCTCTCCTACAAATATGTCAAACATGAAACCTCTGTTATTCAGGTTAACAAACGTTAAAAGATGTATAAGAACACTACTAACTGGCCACCATTGGTAAGCACCAGATTATAATCTGACCTACTTCCATGGCGACGTATAATGATTAAAAGGGTAATTTTCCCACCCAGTATCCGGTTCTTTCCGTTTCCCTCCCACAGCTGAACTCATAGTGGGCTGTGAATCGAGCTTCTGCTGCTCCCCCACGGACCCAACTCCACTCGGGCTCAAGAACTGCATGAAGCCCACAGGATTCCGGCTCCCACCTTCCCCCATTCCGGAGTTCAGATCCAAACTCCCCCGTGATGGGCCAACTGCTTCAGGCCCATTCGAGATAAGCCCAGTAGCACCAAGACCGTTTGACGGGCTTGGGCCCGTCAGGTTCAAGAAGAAGGGTGGCGTTTGAGAGAAACTAGCCGGCAAAGATGCTGGAGTACCCAAAATCTGGGGAACAGGTGCACCCCTAGAATCCGTCACATATTGAACTGGCCCACCAGCTCCGTACACAGCCGGCCCACTGGGACCAGGCCCAACATCATTGTTACCATAATGGGTGTACGGTATCACAGATCCAACCCCCAAAACGGTGCCCGTCCTCACATCATACGCGCGCCCATTAGGAAAGCCAGTGATCGGAGCAAAAATAGACCCCTTATCAGCGTCCACCTCCACCCTCTTCCCCATGATCGATATCACCGAGTCTTCGACTTTCAAACCCCCACCGAACAAATCGAAATTTTGAGCCGGACGATCATTCAGATTGATACCCACAGCAGTACGGTCTGTGGGCCGGGCTGGCCCATCCTCACCCGCGAGGTTCAGGTCAAGGCGGAGAGCCTGGGACCCACCAGCCTCAGTATTCCCGGACGAGTTGAGATCAATATCAAAAAAGTTTTGTGGCTGCTTCTCGCTCAGTGTGGTCTGCCGGGGAGAAGCCGGCCGGAAAGCACTGGCCGAGGCCGTGATTTTCAGCCCGAGATTCCCCTCAAACTGCAACGGAGAAGACGGTGGCCCACGAGCTGCAGCTGCTCTCGAAGAAGATACAATGGGAACGGGCGTCGAAATCCGACGGTCGGTGTCATCAAGATGCATGTCTTGGTTCAGGTCGAAATCACACAGGCTTCTATCAATGTTTGTTTCCTCTCGTCCCAGTTCAGAGGGATTCTTATCTAGGTTTTTCTCGCCGGCTTGCGATTTGTTTCTGCTCTCAGGTTTGGGCAAATCTGGCTTCTCAGACGAATTGTGACTTTGTTCTTTGTGATCTGAAATTTCTGTCTCAGCAGCTTCATCTTTGATACCCTTCTCATCTATGTCCTCACCACCACATGGACTCTTATCTCTAGAAGGAGGAAAAATTCCCGAACCCGATTTTAGTGCAACCTCAGGTTTGCTTTCTGAAGCATTATTTTCTTCTCCAGACCCTAAGTTCTCGGTTGTACTTCCAATTTTGGCCGGATTACACAATCCAACCGGATCATTTCCCGTGGAATGATTAACAGTTCCCAGATCGGGATTTGGTGAGGGAGTTAAAGAATCAGATATATTATCCGACTTCAGATTTTCCTCAACAGCGTGCACAACATCCGAACTAGTAGATACCATTTGATCATTTCCTGATAATATTTTACCTTTTTTATCATCATCTACCGAAGATTCAATCTTTTCCTTGTCATCACTCATCTTCCAGCTATCGAACAAAGCTCGAGCTTTATCTCGCACCTTGGCACTACTGTGGCTTTGTAAATCTTCGACAGCTGTCCATACCTCACTGGACACCAGATTCTCGTGGCCGGCACGAAGCCGTTCAAGCGCTTGCAGCAGACGAGCAACTGACTCTTCAAGAAAGGAGTTGTTCGGGTCATTCCCGAACTTATGAGCTTCTTTGAGCCAGCAGCCCAAAAAACGAAGACCGTCCAAACGGACGAAAAGGTCGAGACATTCTTGGTTGTCAGTGGCAACTATAGCACTCCCGACTGCTGACCACTGCCTGGTTGCTTCATTCACGTTCTTCACGATGTGATCTTTCTGCTTCTGCATGACGGACACAAGCTCATTGACCCGAGAAGGGGCAGTGAGCCCGTTATTCATCTCGGTCAAGGTGAAAAAGTCGTCGAGCGTCATAATCTTTCACGAGTTGAGACCCTAATGGAATATTGTATGCTCAGGCATCTTCTTCTTGCTTTAGTGTCTCCTGAAAAAATGGCACACATGCAAAATTCTTAATACGACGAGGGTTGGCACTTTTTCTAGTGATCCAGCTATGGATTTACTACAGCTGTAGTTTAATGAAAGAAACGAACAAAAATGTCAGCCAGTAGTGGCGAGGACTTCGGTTACAGCAAAACCTGTAAAGGGATATAGCCAAATTCGTTAACGACAAATGTTTGTACGTAAAAAAGAAGCAACAGAATAAATGTGAAGATATAAAGCTAAAACTTTTTTCCCGAAAATCAGCCAACTCGTACAAGATCAGAAAGGCGCATCTCAGCTTAAAAACAAAGATAATTATTAAGGGACAACTATTGATATTACATTACTGCAACCCAACCAATTTGATAAATAAAGGTAAAAAATTGTAAGAATCGAAAAATTAATAATAATTTAGCTAAAAATATCACAAGGTGTTCTATGAGAACAAAGTCGAGCGATAAAACACTCATCGCCACTGTGGCAAACAAGACCATGTACAAGCAGATAATAAAACTGCACAAGCTTTATTAAGAAATTGATGGGATTTCCGTCAAGTTTAGGAATCAGCATCTGTAAAGCATGTCCTTAAGAACTCAACTAAGATTCAGTTCCCACATAATATTATCGCATCAAAACGAGCTCCAAACAAGAAGTTTCAACTCGTCACATCGAGAATATTCAACAATTCTCCATTGCTGTCAAAATTTTGCCCATCAGAAGACAGCAACAGAAAAAGAATCTATACCACACAGATCATGTATAACAAACACAATTCACAAAACAAACCTATTGGAAACAAAACAAACAAATCTGGGGCTTCTCACAGCTACCCAAAAAAAAAATAAATAAATAAATATTGCTAAAAACAGAAACTGCAAAATTCAGAAAAAGAGTGACCAAAATGAGAGACAAGATCGACCTGTAACTGAAGCCCGAAACCCTACACAAACAATTGTTCAAACGTGTAATAATTCGACAAACAAGAGACCAGGAGAATCGATACATGGTACAGATATGTCCGAATTATAGTAATCAATGCAGCAAATTAGCAAACAAATCAAAACAAAAAGGATCCAAATCCAGCAACAAAAGAGATCTCAAGAAAATCATAAACAAACAAAAGGGTTAAAACCTCAAAAACACAGACAGAGCACAAAAACCCATAATTCCAAGCTCCTGCTCAAATCAAAATCTCACCTTTTTTTTTTCACTCACACTCAGAACCTCAATTTTTCAATCGCGCCGCCTAAAATTAAAGATAGAAAACAAATTTAAATAAGCGGGACAAAACGAAAATATTCTGCAGAGAGGCTGAGAGAACCTTTTTGTTCTCTCTGTGTGACGTTCTATTGTTCTCCACTTGTTCTTCTCTTCATCCTGCTGAATTTTTCTCTTTCTAATTTCTGTGTTTTGACCTATATTTTTTATGTAATTTATTTACTTATATTATTAATTATATATTACAAGAAAGCTTTGGCTTTGGTTGGTCGCGTGTGGGGATTGAACACGTGCCGCGTGAGTGAGAGCCCGCATAATGGGCTTTATGGGCTTCATTCTTCTGTTTTGTGATCTGAAACAACAAATCGGTCAAGCCCAAGTAATGTTTGGACCGGCTAAAGTTACACTTTTTTTTTTTTACAAATACGAATGACAAACTTTATTTTTATTAATATTGCTAGTTACTATAACTAAGGCTAATGAAGTACTTTAATCAATAAATTGAAGTTACCAAAAACTGAATAATTAATTAGTGGACAGATGTCCAGATCGTGCAAATCTTTTCCAAAATTTCTTCCAAAAGTCTTTTGCAGGTTTTATACTAAAAAAATTTAATCTCTCTCCCAAATCTCAATTTCATAATATCTCTAAAATATTTTGATTCGCATCTCAAGCAAATCCATTTTTCACCATTTTCATCCCCTGCAATTTTTCATCTGGTGCCAAAAGTGACTCAAAACTACTCACCATTGAAGATATCCCAGAAACCATAAAATTTCTTCGCACGAAGCTCATTAATGACGAAAAAAGGCCACCGCCTGTGAATCCTGGTGATGGTAATGGCGGAGCAAGGTTAACTCGTACGACAACCTCAATCAAGTTGTCAAACCGAGAATCTCCGAGTGAACAATTTGTCATCACGGGCCTAGCCGAGTCGAGTTCCTTACATTAGTACCGTCCGCCGTTCGACTTTGCAACCTGACCGTTCATCGCCGAGAAGTTCGTTCGCAACAGCCGGGACCTGTGCACTTTAGATGTCGAGTCGTTCGTCCATCCGTCCATTCGAAGGAGTGTAGTAAACATATACACAAATTATACGTTAGTTATACACAATCTATATTGTGTTGTTTTTTGGAGTGCGCAAAGTTGTTGGTTGCACTTTGTAAATGTCATGTAATGTATACATGTGTTGTTTATCTTATGTATAACTACATTCGATTGAGATTTTGCAGTCATTCAGATTTGTGTATTATGTTTTATTCTGTTTTAGTATTCTTTATATTTTGTTTATCTTATGTATAACTATACGTTAATATTAGAGAACTGTCAGACCATGGTTATCTGATGTATATATACAATGTGGAGGGTACCAGGACTCGAACCCCGTACCAGGACTTGTCATGAATCCCACCTTATGCTCAGGGTACGGGGTTCGAGTCTTGGGGAGGACAGAAACCACAGAAAGTCCAAACATGGGTTTTCACCCTAGGACTGGAGCACTGTGGAAGTCCATGAGTCCCCGGTGCATGGTCATGGCCCACCGGAGGCCCCACACACCCCACCGA